CCAACGCTGCACCTCAAGCACTCGACAAAGCCAAAATATGGTAAAAATACGGTAATAAAAGTGCAGTAAAAGGACACCCACTCTCTCCAAAGGAAAATAAAAAATGGGCTACAAACCAGCAGTGTGCAGTGTGGTTACCCAGGTGCTTTTGGGGCAACTTTTCCAGAAAGGCCATTCGAGTTCCCGGCCAGATTTTGAAATCAGGAAGTCTAAGCAATACTTGAGCAGGCAGAAACAAAACGTGTTGTGAAAAAGTTAACAAATCGTCCTTAACATTGAGGTTCAGTGTTCAAATTAGTTGTTTCCAGTGCCGGGATCTTAAAAGTGGTGAATTGTTAAGAGTGAAATACAGAGTGTTTGTGTCCGCACAATTTTTATAGACCTCCCGAATTTTCTAAATTTGGCTAACAAGTGATGCTCTGTCCTAATAAAGCTTCCTAAATGAAGGGAAATTCCCTAAAGATAAGACCACAATTGTGCCGTACAGAAAACTGCCAGTGCTGTGCAGACACAGCAAAAATCTCAGATAAAAAAGAACCCTGAAACAACAGCAACATAGTAAAATAAAAAAATGGGAAAAAAACCCAGACCAAAAAACCACAGCCAAAATGAACTGCCATAAACAGGCCCCACAGCAGTCATGAGTTTAATTTGTCTGAGACACAACTGTTATATTTGGGGTTTGCTATTGCTGGTTTGTTTGTTTATTTCTATTGGGGTTTAAGTTTCTAATTTTTAAATTAAGAGTATGTCAAGCTCTTTTGCTCTAAGTGATTGCGGGAAATGGGAATTCCTGAGTGAATTACAAAAAATGGATATATTTTACTATTTATTCTGCTTATCTTATCCTTGATTTTTTTTTCATTTTCTCAAGCAATTATTTTTAAATTGCATTTGTATCTCCCCTATTTTTGTACCACAGAGGTCCAGTTTAGTTTGTCAAGCATTCATTGTATTTTTCACTACATGATACAGTAAAAGATGTCTAAAGGAGGTTAAAAGTTACTCAGTCAAATCAGAGCCACATGTAAGCATAGATTTTAATAAATGCAGTCAGAATAAATTTGGTTTTTAGTTGTGTTAAGGCAATCAGCTTTATCTGAGACACATTTCATAATACACTACACAAAAGAGTGCAAGTGAAGCTTGATTTCTGGCTTCGGATTTGGTTTCAGCTAAGATTTCTGCTTTATTTACTATTGCAAAGTTGTAATGTTAAGAACTGTTTTCAGCAGTTCAGTCTAAATTACAGCAGGTATTGCTTGGAATTGAACCTCCTTCATTTTGTTGGCAGGAGAGGCCTACAATTAATATGTTTAAATATGAAGGGTTTCAGTTGAAGTCTCCTTTAGAGAATAAACTTGCCTTCAGAGAAATGGTTTGGGTTTGGGATTGTTTACTCAACTTGGATTAGAAAGCTCTTGGGCCACTAAGAACTGTTTATTTCAATTCTGCCAGTGATAATTGAGATACACTTGAGAGACTATTTCAGAAATATTTATGGGAAAACCATAGAACAGGACAAATGTGAAATCCAATCGGCATCACCACCACCAAAATGATCTGCTGCAAGTTTAGTCTGAAATTTGCCAAGATCGAATTAAACATCCCAATCCCACAATGTAAAGCAAAGAAAATAATTCTCGAGGCTTTCATTTTAATGAAAATCCCAGAATCATCAAGGTTGGAAGAGATCTTCAATGTCTCTTAGTCCAGCCATCACCCCAGCACCACCATAATCACCTGTAACCCCTAAAAAGTTGCAAAAACCTAAAGCTGCCAACATGAGGTTGAGAAACATTCTGATAAATGGCTTTTGCAGAGGCTACTGGGGTGGGTGGGGCAATAAGCTTCTGTTTCCTCTCCTGATTAGGCCTTTGCTAAGAAAACACCCATAAGACTCAGTAGTGTGGTGGGTTTTATAGTCTTAAACAACCCATGTATTCATATATATTTTTATATATATGTGTGTATATGTATATGTATGTGTATGTGTATATGTATATGTATATGTATATGTATATGTATATGTATATGTATGCTTTCTCTTTCTCCTGTCTAGTATCATATTGAAAATGTATCTACTTTTTGCAAGAGTAGAGGAAAATTCCTGGCTGGCAGCTGTGTTCCTGATATGAAGCCAAGCACTTACCTGCTGCAGCCAAGCTGGTGATGAAGAACACATGCACTGTGTCACATCACAAAACATAACTGGAAGGGAAGGCAGACTGAATTCTGCATGTGGACAAAACCTCTCCTCTCTGCTTCTCAAACACTGAAAAGCTGATGATCCACTTCTTAAAGGTGTTGTGAGGGTGCTCAGGCATTTTGGGCATTTCCATTAGTATATGTAATTTCCTTCCTATTTTTTCAGTGGTAGGATGCTTCTTATTTAAGAAGCAGGAGATTTGGGATTAACCTCTGAATGTTACCTAACTAAATCAACAAAAGTTTTGTTTGCACAGTCCTCAATAAGGCAGGGATTTCATCCCTGATCATAGAAAAAGTTTCTCATTATATATTCATTTATGATGTAGTGAATTGGAACTTGAACCCGCCTATAAAGGAGCAGCCTGCTAACAAACACTGCTGCTCTGGGCAAATTAAGTTGAACACTTGCATTCTGGGAAGTTGTGCAAAATGTTTATCTTAAGAAACAGCCTTAAAAAATACTCAAGGCTATCAACAGTGCTGGGCTCAGCAATAAGAAGAGGGACACAGATACATGCAAACTGACTCCAGTTCTCTAAACAGGAGAAGGAGAAAAAAAGCACAATGAAACTTTGATCACAACAGTGCATCAAATTTCCTTTCTGTATTGTATGTGAATTTATAAATACCACTCATTATTGACTGAGGGAAGTTGATGCAATTGTCCAAGAAATGGGTCTTGAGATAAGAGTTTTGGCTACTGTATCTTCTGCTGGGCTGCTTACCTTGCCATTTTTGCAGCATGGCTGTTCAATTACTCCAGCAGAAAGCCCTCGGGACAGTCAAGTTTCTGAAGGCTTATGGAAAACACAGACTACAGGATTTCCAAGCATTGGTAATACAGACCCATTTCTATGTAGCAAAGTTATGTCCTTGATAGAGTTGTAAACGTTTAAACAGAAAGTGGCTTTCATTCTAGAGAAAGAGAGAAAACTTCCAAGTTTAAATGGCTTATTCTGAATACAAAGTAAAGCCATGTTCATCCCCTGGGTACTCGCTGACTCACAAGCGGTTTTCCAGAAGTCTTCTGGCTTTTAAACCTGTATTCTTAGTCTTCAGAAAGAGGTTACAGAGCAGAGTGACTTCTGCAGGGATCTCCACAGGATGGGAGGGACAGAACTTACCTTTTCCTGGTTCCTGTGTGACAACCTGCCCTGCATGAAGGGAGAAACTTGGCCTCAATCCCCACTTCTGGCACATTAGCAATGTTACATCCCTAAACAGGAAGGCACTCTGGTACCTGAGGAAAAAGAAAGAAATTAAACAGGTGGCAAATGCAAAACAGACAGAGCTCAAAGGCTCTGAAGCGTCAACACAAACAAGTACACATATATATATGTGCATGTGTATGTAATACACATAAATATATATGTATATAGATAAAGAATGAAAACAACATTAACTTCCCAGCCTTATTTTTGCAACCAATGCATGATTTTTTTTATGCCCATGGCTGGCATTGTACACAACTCCCTGCAGTAAGATGAAACTAATATTTCTAATTTATTTATTTGCAAGACAGGCTGAAGAGGCTGCTGGTCTGGGGTGGACAGGCATCAGAGCCATGGGACACAGCCAGGCAGGGATCAGCAGTGAGACTGCTGAGTGGGCCAGTGGCAAACAAGACCCTTCATCAAGGCAGAGTATTGCACCCAACTCCAGTTTTCTAAATTGTGTTAAAAATCCACTGCAGTATGGGGGAATATTTAAGGAAAATAACTACGGTAAATTTGGACACATATTTGTAACAAATACATATAACACTGGGATATGTAGAATAGATGATAATTCTTACCAGGGTACAGACACCAATGATATGATTTTATTTAACATGGCATTCATATTCTATCTCTTGTATTTGGTACTACTGCTGTCCTCCCACCTCTCATCTTACTTTAGAAAAAAAAATAAAATCTAATTACTCCAAACATGCAGGCCTAAACCAGAAGTGATAAATGAAGTAATCAGCTCAATGCATCTAGCAAACGATG